TGGATCAGAGTGCAGAAAGAGAGTGAGTTCCTTAGTACCTAGAATTAAATTGTTAATTAAAAACGATCCAAGTTGTTTCACTCAAATTAGATTTACGGCGCCGAATGTTTGCATATTTAGTTCAAGCATTTTTCCGACTGTTAATTTAGGAGAATTCTGCGATATTTGAGTTACCAAAACAACACCTTTCTTCCATTCCATCTTGCTAGTTTCCATCCAGTCAGATTCGTAAACGGCGAAAGCTATATCATCCGCCTGTAATTTACTATATTTAGTCGTATTTATTTATAGTCAATCAATCAAAGATTTAACCGAATTTGCTACTAGCTGACCAAAGTAGCAAAAGAAGAAAGCTTCAAGTAAAAACGCAGAGAGAAATGTAGCGTATTTTAGTACTTTACTCAAATCAATATCACTAAAGACAATGACAAAAATTAATATAAGTATTAATTGAAATTTATTTTAATTATACCCATCTAAGATTAGTAGAAATATCCCCATGCATATGGAAACGTTACTGGACCAAAGTTGCTCAAATAACAAAACGTTGAAGATATCATCAATTGATCGTATAGTCCTAAAAAAAATACCCAGAATTAATCTGTTTGTTAAAATCCGTTAGAAATTACTCCAATAAATAGTTATGATGATTAACGATGCGATTGAACTCTTCCAAATCATTTTCCTGGTTGTTTGTGCTTTTCAACTGCTGAAATTTAACTTTGACAAAGCTCAGCTGCTCGTAAACATTGAAAGTGACCAGCATAAAGATGCCATCGAACGAAGTTAAACTTAGGAAAGTTAGCAGACCGTCGTGCAGTTGCCAAATATAAATGAGGACAAAGCAGTAATCGTTATTGATGTCGCAGGCTCCATAATTCCAAGGAATCGGCCACCATCTCACCGGCATTGTCAGAGGTTTCACGCAGTAAATCACAACCATTCCAATTGAAAGCCCAGTAAATCCAATATAGATTCTTCGAAAAATAGTACGTCTTCCTTCAATAACTCCAGGTGCATCTACAACCTCATCTGCACTCCAAAATTTACCCATACGGTCTAACAACATCTTAATCTTCTCAGTCTTCATTTTAGTTCGCATCACCTTAGTAAACGTCTACAATTTTAATTAGATACACCTGATAGATATACTTTAGATATTACCTGGTATAAAACAGGCAGAGATTCGGCTAATCCTGAAACATTTTCGAAACTGTGATCGTGGATCAGAGAAATTGCGTTAAAGTAAAGCGAGCTTCCTAATGTGAATAACGAGAGTAGAAAAAGGATGTGAGCCAGGATCGTTTGTTTGTTGGGATTCGTTCCTGTTATCTGCAGCAAAAACAGGACGCGTTTTCTCACGTCCATCGCGAATTTACAAATGCACAGTTTTTCCTCGCATTTTCTCCTTATAAATATTAAATTTTGCCGAGCAAAAATTGTAGGTTGAAATAAATTGTTATAATTAAAATAATTCCTGTATCCTTGGGCTTTAAATTACCTCTATAAGTTATGACTGCATTAAGTAGAAATTTTTAATGCGGTTTCATAACTTTCCAATAATGAATTAAATTATATAGTTTGCAATACATTTTTTTTTATTTCAAGAGCCTATCGGCAATTGTGAAATCGTTACAGTTTATTTATTAAGTGAACGATTCGATTAAACTTTTCCAAATTTTTTTCCTGGTTGTTTGTGCATTTTAACTGCTGAAACTTAACGTTGACAAAGCAAAGCTGCTGATCCGCATTCCAGAACTTAGTCATACGCAACTTAATCTTCTTTGCCTTCATCTTAGTTCGCATAACCTTAGGTAGATATTCGGCTAAGCCTGCAACGTTTTCGAAGCTGTGATCATTCATCAATGAGTTGTGCTGAAATAAAATGAGCTTGCCAATGTGCATAACGAAAGAAAACATAGTATATGAGAAAGAATTGTTTGTTTGTTGGGATTCGTTTCAGTCATTTGGAGCAAAAACAGAACGCGTTTTCTCACGTTCATTGTGAATTTTCAAATGAACAGTTTTTCCTCGTATTTTAATTGTATGATTATCAAATTTTGCTTAAAAAATTGCATGTTAAAATAGATGGTTATCGTTCAAGAAATCGTTTGTCCTTGGGTTTTAAATTACTCCTTTAACTTATGATTGCATCATGCACAAACTTTTAATACGGTTAGAAAAGTTTTAAACGATCAATTTGAATTATTTAGTTTGAGATATTTTTTTTAAATAAATTTATATTCTATAAAGCGCAGGTTTCGTTCGGGGTTAGCTTAGTAAAACGAAGATGTTGCAGTGGTACAGGAAACGTACGGTTTTCGATTTCATGATCCTCTTGTTGGAGAGCATCGGTATGAATCCTAAGAAACAGACAATTCTACCGCATATAATGACTGTTTTCGCTATATTCGTTATATATCTTGCCATATTTTATGACGCTGGTGCTTTGTACTTTGATTTGAGCTTCGAGAGTCTCTCGGCAACTGCTGAATCTTTACCGGTGATGTATCAGGTCCATCAAAAGATAATGTATAAAGCGACGTGATTAATTAAATCTATCAGGTTTCAGCGAAGATCTTGCGGCTGAAATTGACTATAAAGGATTTGAATAAATTGATGAATAAGATGGATGGGTTTTGGCCACATTCGAAGTATCCGGTGCTTCAGGAGGAGCTTGAACAAAGGACCGTAATATTCGGAAAATTCTACAAAATATTCGTCCTGCTCCTTCTATCAACTGTCGTAATTTATTGCATCAAACCTTTAACAATTCCAGGAAGGGTTTGGCCAATTCCTTGGCAATATATAGTTTGCGATATCAATAATAACCTTTGTTATCTAACAATATACTTTATGTTCCTTTACATCGGTTGGTTAATAGTGGTGAGCGTTGCAGGAATTGATGGAGTTTTCATAAGTTTGACTAACGGCATTTGCGAACAACTCTATATGGTTCAAACCGGTTTTCAGCAATTGGAACCGAAGAAATTAGACGATAATTCAGATCTAAAAACACTTTACGAATTAATCAACCATCATAATTATTTACTCGAGTATTATTCAATAATAAAAAACATCAAAATAAATATATATAATCAAATAATTTTAGATGTATAAAAGAAACAGATGTCGTTTTCAACGTCATTCTATTCGAGCAGTTATGGTCCAGCAATGTTTCAATTTGCATGGGAATTTTACTACTAATGATTGACGGGTATACAATTAAATTTTTATTTATTTTCATTGTAATTTCAAACTTTCTCACAGATTTCCAATTCAAATTGATCGCCTTTTAAAATATGCTACCTATTTATCAACGTTCTTAATGGAAGTTTATTTATTTTGCCATTTTGGTCAAATGGTCAGAGACGAGGTAATTCAATTATTATTTATTTAAAAAAAAAAAAAATCATTTTTTCTGAAATAATTACTCAATTTTCATATAATTACAGTGCGATAAAGTAGCTTTTGCTGCAGCAGAATCTCGTTGGTTTGAAAGTGAAAAGCCTGAGTGGAGGAAAAGTGTAGTAACTGTAATCCAAATGGCTCAACATTCACCAAATTTGACAGTTGGAAAAGTCTTATTCCTTAATTTAGAATCGTTTGCTATGGTATACAAATCAATACTTCACTTTTCATAATTTTTGTAATTTATTTATTTTCAGGTGGTTAAAAATTCGTTATCATTTTTAACCTTAATACAAAGCGTCTACAATTTTTAAATTTATTTCTTATCACTCAATTAAAATAGTTTAAATTATTGTTTAAATATTTATTTATATTTAATATACTTACACTTTCTTAATGTTTGTAAGCCAATCACTATTTGTTAACTTAAGTTCCAATTAGTTCCAATTTTGAATAAATCAAGATTAAAAAATTGAATTGAATCTATATATTTTATACTGTTTCAATATGATGTCCTTTTATTCTCCTCTGGGTGACTTCTTCTTTCATCCCTTACAACAAAGCTTACAGTTTCATCATTTCAACTAAACTATCATAGTAATCTTTATATATACTCAAGAACATACTTCAAATAGTTTCTTTTGAAAAATTTATTAAATTATTGCTAGAATTGGGGGAAAAATTTGTTGTTTACAATATTAATTACCAAATTGAAACCAAATTGGTTTGTGAAGCAGCAAGCATTTTTTTGCAGTGAACGCTTTATTTAAACATTTTGCGGCAGTTAATGATGTAACGGTGTAAATCCTGTTTAAAAATTGTAAACGCTTTGGATAAGAGTGCAGAAAGAGAGCGAGTTCCTTAGAACCTAGAATTAAATTCTTAATGAAAAACGGTACTAGTTGTTTCTCTGAAATTAGATTTACAGCGCCGAATGTTTGCATGTTTAATTCAAGCATTTTACCAACTGTTATTTTAGGCGAATTCTGCGATATCTGAGTTACCAGAATTACACCTTTTTTCCATTCTATCTTGCTAGTTTCCATCCAGTCGGATTCGTAAACGGCGAAAGCTATGTCATCCGCCTGAAATATAGTTTGTTTAGTCAAAGTTAAATACAGTTAATCAAAGATTTAACCGAATTTGCTACTAATTGACCAAAGTAGCAAAATAAGAAAGCTTCAAATACAAACGCTGAGAGAAATGAAGCGTATTTCAGTATTTTGCTGAAATCAATTTCACTGAAAATATTTGCATAAATTAGCTTCATAATTAACACAAATTATTTTTATTGTACACGTCTAAGATTAGTAGAAATATTCCCATGCATATGGAAACATTGCTGGACCAAAGTTGTTCAAATAACAAAACGTTGAAGATATCATCAATAACTCGTATAGTCCTAAAAACAATCACCAGAATTAATTTGTTTGCTAAAATCCGTTGGAAATTACTCCAATAAATAGTTATGATGATTAACGATGCGGTTAAACTCTTCTAAATCTTTTTCCTGGTTGTTTGTGATTTTCAACAGCTGAAATTTAACTTTGACAAATCTTAGCTGCTCGTAAACATTGAAAGTGACCAGCATGAAGATGCCATCAAATGAAGTTAAACTTAGGAAAGTTAGTACAGCATCATGTAGTTGCCAAATATAAATGAGTATAAAACAGTAATCTTTATTGATGTCGCATACTCCATAGTTCCAAGGCATCGGCCACCACCTCACCGGCATCGTCAGAGGTTTCACGCAGTACATCAGAACCATTCCAATTGCAAGCCATGTAAATCCCTTATAAATTCTTTGAAAAATAGTACGTCTTCTTGAAATATTCCCATCATCATCAATCTCATCCGCATTCCAGAACTTAGTCATACGCTCTAATAGCAACTTAATCTTCTTGATCTTCATCTTAGTTCGCAACACCTTAGTAAACGTCTGCAAGCTTAATTAGATGTATCTGATAAATACTTTATAGATTACCTGGTACATAACTGGTAGAGATTCGGCTAAGCCTGAAACGTTTTCGAAGCTGTGATCGTTGATCAAAGAAATTGCGTTGAAGAAAACCGCGCTTCCTACTGAGAATAAAGAGAGGAAAAAAAGTATGTGAGCCAGGATCGTTTGTTTGTTGGGATTCGTTCCTGATATCTGGAGCAAAAACAAGACGCGTTTTCTCACATCCATGGTGAATTTGCAAATGAAGTTTTTCATTTGTTAATTCCCGACATTTCTTGCATTTTCGCTGTTTAAATATTAAATTTTGCCAAGTAAAAAATTACAGGTTGAGATAAATGATTATCGTTGAAAAAATCATATGTCCTTGTGGTTATAAATTACTCCTTTAACTGATGATTGTATCAAGCACAAATTTTTAATGCGGTTTTGGAAGTTTTAAACGTTCAATTGAATAATTTAGTTTGAAATATATATTTTTTTTCATAAACTAATGCGGATAGCTCCGTTCCTACAAAAGTTGGCGTAAATCGAATCGGCGTAAAATGAACCCATATTTAGAGTGAGGTAGGTATAGGATTAGCAAATAAATTTGTTTATTAATACAATATAAGCAGCGGCGTTATTGTGAATCGGCGTAAATTGACCGACATAAACCGAGGGCTAACTGTATTTTATAAAGCGTGTAGTTAATTAGGATTAAGGATAGTAACATGAAGAAGTTGTACAGAAACGGTTTTTGTTTTTAAGATAATTGGGTATGAAGTATGGATTTTGAAGATTCTTTATAGTTCATACTATTGTAATTTGTGTGACTGTGTAATTTGTGTGACTTTACGAAAGTTATACTTTTATATAATATAACAAATGCTTTAAAGATATATTTGTTTTTAAAATACCGAAGGCAGTGCTAAAGTTACTTTTAAACAATATTAATAGGAATTGCTGTAAAGTCTTGGAACTGAAAGCAATATGCTTTGGTAGCAATATGAAGGCACTTGGAGTTTATGTGGAATTTCTCTGCGGATTGTAATTTGATACGTATTATTGGAAGAGTGTATATATATACAGTCGACCCAACAAAAGTTTTAATTTCCGGATCCTCGTCTCGATACCATTTTCAGATTGCTAGAGCTTCTGACTCGATCACTGAAAACTTCATTAAAATATTATTAGAAACTACGGACTTACGGACAACAAAATTTCATTCTGTTTTATTACATACAGGATTTATATATATAAAGCTATACTTCGTATAGTGCAGATTATGGATTCCGCCAATATCCCGAACAATATGACACTGGACTAATCGAGGAACTACATAAATAAAAAATTAACATCACAAAGTTTTTTTTATGAGTAATACTAAGACTTATAATTCTATGAAAACGTCTATATTCTATTTGAGTATATCAATGGTAATCCCAATTTGTAAGTTGATATCGGTCACCAATTTAAATCGTATGCATAGAATTGCGCATTGCTTAACTTTCGCAAGATTTTTTTAGTAACTTCCTAATTTGTAAAAAATAAATTTATTGTACACAATTATCAACTCAACCTCCCAAGTCAATAACCCAGTTATATTACAACTGTTTATTACGTAAAAGAATAAATATAATGTATTACCATTTACTTTATAAGCTCGTAAAAACGCATATTGGATTTTACAAATCTAATCTAGAAACTTGATTGCACGCAATAAAACTACACTAAACTTGCTCAAATAAAATTAACGGTGTTTATCCATCAGAAGTGACCATTTCCAATTGATACGTTAGAACAAAACAAAGAATTAGAACGCAATTAATTTACTAAACCCTATATACTTGTTTCGGCTTCGAAGTCATTTTTTGTTGTTGGTATCTGACATTCGGAAAATAGGAAACGATATGTTTGGGATTCTGTGTATTATTGTGTTGTGATAAGTCGATAACATATTTCTTTTTGCGTTGTTATGTAATATTGATGGCAACAGCGGGCCGTAATAAATCAAAAGTAAATTCCCAAACCTCGCAGTGACAGAACCATATATATATAGATAACTATATTGTGTGTGCTGCGTATATGTGTGTATTCGGTATACGGCGGCTATGACCTGAAATTGGGTGTGGAAAATCAGGAGGCTCGACTTGAACCCGTTAATTTTCACAGCAATCATCGCTCTGTTTGATTTAACACCAAATTAAGTTAGATCAGTTAACAACGAGATTGTCAGGTTTCGTTTATATATTCATTTTATCAGTTACTTGTTTGTTTATATACAAGGACGTGATTGGATTATTTTATGTTATCAGTTATGCTATAGCCCTATCTATAAGTTTCTGATATTTTATGTATACAATTTTAATTTATTACTAGTTACAATATATTTGATTATGTAATTTGTAATAACAATATTATTTACTAATTCTTATTAGGCTAAAGAAATTGCTAACGATCAAAATCTTCTTGCTAAACTATTAATAAATAACTAGTTATAACCGCATAAATAAATATAATTTATTTGTTTTATCTTAAATATTTAAGTAGATCATTTCTAAATAGAAATTCTTTAATATTACATACATCTATATTTATTGTAAATTCTACAATTTGATCTAGTTTTTTGACTAGAGAAAAACTTTCTGCTATACTAAATTGTAATCAGAAGTAAATAAATTACCCATCCATTTTACATATTGCTTAACTCTTGTAATATTTTCATCAGTAAATAATTTGATGTACTTACACTATCTTGTATCAAATTAGATCATCTTTCCTCAACTTACATCATCTTACATCATCTTACATCATCTTACATCATCTTTCATCAACTTACATCATCTTATATCAAAGAAAAGTTGGAAAATAATTTTCAATGGGATGAGCCAATTATTCAGAGAATTTATTACTGATACCATCAGAATTCAAGAAGGAAAGTTTATCAGATATGATACATTTGATTGGACGCACGAATTAAATTGCTTAACTCTTGTAAGTTTTTCATCAGTAAATAGTTTGATGTTCACAATACTGTTTCCATTTTTGTATATTGATATTAATACATCAACTTATATCATCTTACATCATCTTGCATTAACTTAGTTGATTACATCGTCTTGTATACAATTACATAGACTTATTTTTAATAGTGTTATAGTTCGAAATAATTTTCCAATGAGATGAGGATATTCATTAAAGGAGTTATTGATGACACTTTCAGAATTAGATAAGAAAAGTCTTTCTCCAGAGTTGTTATTGGAAACACATAAGGATTATTAATGGAAGAATTGAATAATACTATAGTTGATTCATTCGCTTCAATGCACGCATTCAATTGCTTAACTCTTATACATTTTTCATCAGTAAATAGTTTATTATTAACATTTTTACATATTGATAACATGGACATTAATTGTTAAGATGTTTGAGGATACTGAATTGAATCAATGAAATTAATTTGTCACAAAATCTACATTCTTCATAAATAATACGGTTTTAAGGTATCCAGTGGATTAAGTAATACATGTAGAAAGGACATCTCCATAGCGATAACCCTATTTAGGATAGCTGAGTGAACTCCTTCAAATTAAGGTCACGCATGAACTAGAAATTATCTTAAGTTATAGAAAATAACATATATGTGAGCCAAAAGACTTTGGTCATAATTGTGGCTAATGCACATGTAATATACTGTTTATGTTTAATTTATATTTATCACCAATCATAAAAAAAATACGTTCAATTAGATAACATATATTTTTTATCTAATCAATGGTTTTACGATATATATACTAGTATTATTCTCTCAAACCTATCAGTTAATTATTAAATATGATTCAGTTAGCATTGATTTTGGTATTCTTATATTTGTTGTATCATTTTCTGATAAAACCTCATTCGTATTGGAAAGAAAAAGGTGTGAAAAATGTTAAACCTGTACCAATTTTCGGCAATGTGTTTGTAAATATCGCGCAGAAAAAGTCGATTGCTGAAATGACGAAAACAATGTACGATGCTTTTAGGAATGAGAGGTAATTTTATTTAATTTTAAATTGATTTAAATTAAATAACTATCCAATTTTGTTTTAAATTAGGTATTCAGGAATGTATCAATTATTGAAGCCTGTATTGATCATTCACGATCCAGAGTTAATTAAAACTGTTACAATAAAAGATTTCGATCATTTCACCGATCATTCGACTGGTTCTCATGAAGATGTGGATCCGTTATGGGGCAGAAACTTATTTGCTATGGTTGGTACGTATGTACACATTTGTAAATGGAAAATACGACTAATTTGGTTTTGGGGGAGTTTAGGTGAATCCTGGCGGGATATGAGGAATACTTTGAGTCCTGCATTTACGAGCAGCAAAATGCGGACCATGTTTACTTTAATCAACGAGTGCGCAGAGAATTTCTCTAAATATTACCTGAAGGAAAATCAAGACGTTATTAAATTAGAAATGAAAGATACATACACGAGAGCTACGAACGATATTATTGCAAGTTGCGCGTTTGGTATTAAATGCGATTCGTTGGAGTATCCGGAAAATACGTTTTACACGATAGCTAAAAAGGCCTTCAACTTTTCCGGACTTCGACAAAATCTGTTTCTGCTGTACAGCACATTTCCAAAATTAATGAAGGTAAATTTATATTTCTTGAATAACTTATGTAAACTTATATCAACTTTTATATTTCATCATCTTTCACCATGTTTCACTATCTTCCATTTCTTTCCATTATCTTTCATTGTCTTTCATAAGTTAATTTACATTAACTTATTTTTAATAGTTTTTCGGATGGAAATTGTTCTCCGATGAGATGAGCGAATTCTTCAGAGGAGTTATAAACGAGACCATCAGAATTCGAGAAGAAAAATCTATCGTCAGGCCAGACATGATTCATTTATTATTGGAAGCACAGAAAGGATCATTAAAGGAAGAATCGAATAATACAATCGCTGATTCATTCGCTTCGACACATGAATTCAATTTAGGGAAACAAAAAAGCAAACTAGTTCAATTCACCAATGAGGATATCACAGCTCAGGCTCTAATATTTTTCTTAGGCGGATTCGATACAACTTCATACCTAATGTGCTTCTTATCATATGAATTAGCAGTAAATCCTGAAATTCAAGAAAAATTAAGGAATGAAATTTCAGCGACTTGGGAGGAATGCCAAGGAAATTTGACATATGAAGCTTTGAATGGAATGAAGTATTTGGATATGGTTATTTGCGGTAATATTTACAATTTTAAATGAAGATAATTCTTGTATAATCTAAAATGTGATCATTTTTTTGACAGAGGTGTTGAGGAAATGGCCACCATTCCCAATTATGGATAGGATTTGCACTAAAGATTACACAATTAAAGCGATAAGACCAGAGGAGAAAGATTACAACGTAAAGAAAAATGATATAATAATAATACCGATATTTGGGATTCATAGAGATCCAGAATATTATCCAAATCCTGAAAAGTTTGACCCGGAGCGTTTCGCTCCTGAAAATCGAGTAAAACTGAATTCCTCTACTTACTTTCCATTCGGTTCAGGTCCAAGAAACTGCATAGGTACATTGAACAGAAAATATAATAAAAGATGTATTAGATTAAAATGAATATTTTCAGGATCCAGATTTGCAATTTTGGAAAATAAAACTATTATGTTCCACATGATCAGAAATTTTCAGGTGGTGCCAACTGAGAAAACCACAATTCCCATGGTGATTAGCAAGAAACAATTTATCATTTCTTCGCAGCATGGATTTTGGCTGGGGCTGAAAAAAATTGTCAATTAAGTAATAAAATTTTAGCTATATTATTTAAAAAATTTATTATTTTACATTTTGACAATAATAAAACTTTTATAAATTAAGTAAATAGATAACTTTATTTAGTTAACACTGATTATATTTTGATACAAGTTTTATTTATTATCCATTATTTTGTGAATACACTTTATTTGTAATAATATTTATTTTATAGAGATACTTGTTATTCACGTTTAATAACAATTTAATATAAAATTGTACAAGATTATACAGAAATAGCAAACATCAATAAGTGCTTCATCATAATCTTATCTCTTCAAATGCAGCGTTTTAAAATAAAAGAGGATTGCAAATTACGTTTCAGTTGATTGACGAAGATGATCAAGTTATTATTGTTATTGGTTGTAGCATATTTGCTATATTACTTCTTAGTAAAACCTTACAGATTTTGGAAAGAAAGAGGAATTAAATATGTCAAACCATTACCGATATTCGGTAATATCTTTGAGAATATTATCCAACGTAAATCGTTGGCAGAGATCTTCAAATCATTTTACGATGAATTTCGAGATCAAAGGTAATATGATAAAACAACTTAATTAAAATTAATTAATATTTTACAGATATTGTGGAATGTATCAGTTCATGAAACCGGTGCTTGTAGTTAACGATATTGAACTTATGAAGACGATAACGATTAAAGATTTCGATTATTTCACGGATCATGTGAATCATTCACGAGAGGAGGTGGATCGTCTTTGGAGTAGAAACTTGTTTGCTATGATTGGTAAATACAATAATATTAATGATACTGAAATTCAATTTTTAAATGTTTTGTTGGTAGGTGAACCCTGGCGCGATATGCGAGGAACCTTGAGTCCTGCTTTTACGGGCAGTAAAATGCGTTTTATGTTTTCCTTAATGAACGAATGCGCTGAGAATTTTGCTGCTTACTACCTGAAAGAAAATAAAGAACTTATACAATTAGAAATGAGAGATACTTATACTAGAGTTACGAATGATGTGATTGCTAGTTGTGCTTTTGGCATAACGTGCGATTCTTTGAAGGATAAAGAAAATGTGTTTTATGTAAAAGCGAGGAAAGCTTTCGATTTTTCAGGAATTCGTCAAACTATCTTTATATTATTCAACACCTTACCAAGGTTGATGAAGGTAAAGTTTTTTCTATTAATTAATAAAACTTGTATCATGTTTCATAGTTTTTGGGTTTAAAAATAATCACCGATGAAATGGGTATTTTTTTTCGTGGTGTAATTGATGAAAGCATAAGGATACGTGAGGAAAAATGTATAAGCAGACCGGATATGATCAATTTACTCTTAGAATCGAGGAAAGGAAAAATGAGTGAAGACGGTAAAAATGTTGTTGATTCGTTTGCTTCAACCGAGGAATATAGTTTGGGGATGAAAACAAAAAATATTGAAATGACCAACGAAGATATAACAGCCCAAGCTTTGATCTTTTTCTTAGGCGGATTTGACACAACATCTTACGTTATGTGTTTTTTAACTCACGAATTAGCTTTAAATAATGAAATTCAGGAAAAACTAAGAGAGGAAATCAATTCAACTTGGAAAAATTGCCAAGGAAAGTTAACGTACGAAGCTTTGATAGGAATGACGTATTTGGATATGCTTATTTCTGGTAATATATTGAAAACTACATTTTATATCCACTTAATAAATTGATTATTTTTTTAACAGAGGTTCTTAGGAAATGGCCACCTTTTCCATTTTTAGATAGAATTTGTACCAGAGATTACACTATTAAAGCAACAAGACCAGAAGAAAAGGATTACCATTTGAAGAAAAATGATATAATAGTTTTTCCCATGTTTGGAATTCACAGAGATCCTGAATTTTATCCGAATCCTGAGGTATTCGATCCTGAACGGTTTTCAATTAAGAATCGAGCAAAAATAGTACCTTCTTCTTACATACCCTTTGGTATTGGACCCAGAAACTGCATTGGTATTTCAAGAAATAATAATTAAAATTACAAATATAACAAAAATATTTCCAGGATCTAGATTTGCTCTGTTGGAAAATAAGGCTACGATTTTCCATTTAATTAGAAATTTTCAGGTTGTTCCAACTGAGAAAACTTCAATTCCAATGGTCGTTAGTAAAAAGCAATTCAATATTTCTTCGCAACACGGATTTTGGGTTGGACTTAAAAGATTACCAGCTTAGATTTTTTGATTATCATATTTAATTCTTAATATATAATAAATTACAATACAATTTATATACAAATGATGATAATAAGAAATAAACTTTTTTATAATACTAATATGGAGATGTTTGACCACGCATACTTATTAGAATCTTCGTAGTAAAAGCACAGACTGAGCAACTCTCACAAAGTATATTCACAAGACAATAAAACACAGAGAAATAAAGAGAGGACAACTCATCAACAACTACCTTTACCACCTTGAACATTCCTGCATTGTCTGCAGCTTGGGTCTATCCATGAGCATCACTCCTTTAGACGTATGACAAATGTGGTTGTTGATCATTCTTGCATCGTCTATAATTTGAGACTATCTACAAAAATATTTCCTGACTTCCCAAAAAAGGACTTTACAGTGCTAATTGCTCCTGCATTGTCTACCAAATTGGTAGCGCAAAATATTCTAAGTGTGTTAAACTTTAGGGAATAAATGTAAATTTATATCTTAATGTTTCTAGGTAGCAATTCTTTAGTTATAAAGAGGTAGAAGCAAATCTTGTTGGTGAAATTCTGAAGAGCCCAGAGAGTAACAATATATATAATCTAGAATGTATATACTGATAACAAATGCTTTGATAGAAGACATTTTAAATTTTGGACATAAATATTTATAATAAATAATTTCCTAGTTGTAATCATTTCGTTCACGTGTAGATAGAAAATATATTGAGATTAAGTGAATAACAACGTTGATTTTTTATAATAATCTTATCATGTTTGTTTAAATTGGCTGAGAATTGTAAATTACTATTTAGATGAATAGCAAATATGATTCAGTTAATATTATTGGTGGTTTTTACGTATTTTATGTACTATTACCTGTAGAAACCATCAACTTTATGGAAAGAAAAAGGAATCCAATATATTGCCGATATTTGCAAATGTAATACAACAGAATTTATAAAATCGATTTACGATAAATTGAAACACCAAAAGTAATACAAAACAAGAATTAATTTAATTAGAATTGTGAAAAGTCAGGATTATATAATGTGTGTCAACAAAGTTCCAATAATAAGATTTACATTCTTTTTGGTGGAACATAATTTGCCAATTTTCTTTTATTGTTTCCTCATTTCATTAGTTTTTGACAGTAAACATATTAAATGATCGTTTGGTTCCTTTGGAGCAGTCAAATTGATAACATGATTTTTTTTCATGCATTTCAGCTTTGGATGTGGTTTGTGCTGGTTCATCCACGATCCATTTTTCATCACCAGTGAAGTGATGATTCATTGCATTTAAGATGGATATTGATTGTTTGTGTTAAGTTAATATTTTTCAATTCATGCGAATTTCAAGATTCTTAACAAGTCCAAGATATTTAGTGGCATCTTTCAAATGACAAAAGGAAAAAAATCATAACATTTAACGAACTTCTTCAAAACAAACATAACAATACATATTTGTGAAAAAAGTCGCAAAAACAAGTTCATAAATTATTTACAGAAATGTTAAGCAATTACTAATGAAATCATCAATATGTGTAAATAATATAAATATTTTGTTTATTTATTGCGATGATTGACACTTTACATATCATAAAATTTTTATAAATTTATTTTCAATAAATATTTTTTGTTATGTACACAGAGGTGAAACAAACAGTAAATAAATATATAATAATCTTATCAATGTTTATTTAAATTAACCGAATTTATAAATTATCATTCAGTTGAATAACAAACATGATTCAATTAATATTGTTGGTGGTTTTGTCGTATTTGCTGTGCTATTATGTATTAAAACCTTACACTTTTTGGAAAGAAAGAGGAATTCAATATGTTCAACCAGTACCTATATTTGGAAATGTATTTAGAAATATTATACAACAAAAATCCTTAGCAGAAATAGTAAAATCGATTTACGACAAATTGAAACACCAAAGGTAATATAAAACAATAATTAATTTAATTTGACTTAATGTAAAAATGTGATGTAGATATTCAGGAATGTATCAATTCATGAAACCTGTACTCTTAATTAATGATATTGATCTTATTAAGAAGATTACGATTAAAGATTTCGACCATTTCACGGATCATGTGAATCATGCACGTGAAGATGTGGACCGTCTTTGGAGTAAAAACCTTTTTGCTATGACCGGTATTTATTAATGAATGTTAAATGATTTTAATTAATTACATTCTTTCTTAGGTTCAACGTGGCGTGATATGAGAGGAACTTTGAGTCCTGCATTCACAGCCAGCAAAATGCGCTTTATGTTTTCTTTAATAAACGAATGCGCTGAAAATTTGGCTTCTCATTATTTAAAGAAAAATGAAGAACTTATTGAAATAGAAATGAGAGATACTTACACGAGAGTTTCAAATGATGTAATCGCCAGTTGCGCTTTTGGTATAAAATGTGATTCTTTAAACGACCCTAATAATGTGTTCTACGTTCGAGCTAGTAAAGCTTTTGATTATTCTGGTATTCGTCAGTCCGTCTTTATTTTGTATCACAGCGTTCCTAAGTTAATGAAGGTAAGAAAGTATTTATTATAAAAATAATTAATACAGTATTTTCTTGATAGTTTTTGGGTTGGAAAATATTTGACGATGAGATGGGTACATTCTTTCGTGGAGTGATTGACGAAAGCATAAAAATACGAGAGGATAAAGGTATTGTCCGTCCAGATATGCTTAATTTATTGATGGAAGCTAAAAATGGAAAATTAAGTGGAGAAAGTAACAAAAATTCAGTTGATTCATTTGCGTCAACCAACGAATACAGTTTGGGAAAGAAAATCACAAATATAGAATTGACTAACGAAAATATAACAGCACAATGTCTTATTTTCTTCAATGCCGGATTTGACACTACTTCCTACGCAATGTGCTTTTTGACGTACGAATTGGCTTTGAATGGTGAAATTCAGGATAAACTCAGGGAAGAAATCATTACCACTTGGAAAAAATGCGAAGGAAATGTGACTTATCAAGATTTGATTGGTATGACGTATCTGGATATGGTTATTAGTGGTAATATTATATATATGTAATAATTGCTGATTATTTTATTCTAATTGTATTATTAGAGGTTCTTAGGAAATGGCCACCTGTTCCTTATATTGAGAGGCTATGTACAAAAGATTATACTATTGTAGCAACTAGACCAGATGAAAAGGATTATAAAGTAAAGAAGAACGATTTTGTTTATATTCCAGTGTTTGGAATTCATAGAGATTCAAAATATTATCCAAATCCTGAGAAGTTTGACCCAGAAAGATTTGCAGTAGAGAATCGAGAAAAAATGTATCCTAGTACTTATCTACCCTTTGGTTCTGGACCTAGGAATTGTATAGGTATAACACGCGTAGGGTATGATAGTGTCAAGAATTATATAACAATTTTTTTTCAGGATCTAGATTAGCCATTCTAGAAACGAAAGTCACGATTTTCCACTTATTAAGAAATTTTCAAGTATTGCCAACAAAGAAAACTTCAATTCCTATGGTGATTAGCAGGAAGCAATTCACTGTATCTTCGCAACATGACTTTTGGCTTGGACTGAAAAGATTATCTTCATAGATTAGTATAATTCAATTGATATAGAATGATTTCTTAATTTATTTATCATTTATTACATATTACATATTTTTAGAATATAAATAAAATTAGTAATATTAAGAAACGTAAATATATTAAATGTGTTAAAAGTCGTAAACATACAATGACTAATTAATAATCATATAAGTATTTCGTAATATTCTTATCGTTGCAAGTTTTGCGTTTTAATTAATAAGCAAGGACAACGTAAATTAATGTTTAGTTTATTAGCAAAGATGATTCAGTTAACATTATTACTAATATTTGTTATATTACTATTTAGTGAAATTTTTCAGTTTTTGGAAAGAAAAAGGAATTATCTATGTCCAACCAATACCGTTTTTTGGCAACTTATTTTCTAATATAATCCAACAGAATTCGATAGGAGAAACCATGAAATCTATATATGACAAATTTAGAGAATCTCGTGAAGATGTGGTCATTATGTAGAACAAGACTATTTTAGCTATGACTGGTTATTATTATGTAAGTGAAAAATTATGATATTTATTGATTTTTCTTGTTGAAGGTGAGTCCTGCCGTGATTTGCGAGGAAAGTTGAGTCCTTTTTTTACTGGTAACAAAATGCGGTTTATGTTTACATTACTTAACGAGTGCGCTGAGAATTATTTTGAATTTAATTTGAAGAAAAATCAAGATGTTATAAAACTGGAATTGAAAGATTCATTTTGTTAAAAATGACGCATTTGCCAGCTGCGCTTTTGGGATCAAATGCGATTCTTTGGAAGATAGAGATAATTTGTTCTACGTTTCAACTAGAAAAGCTTTAAATTTCTCGGGTATTCGTCAATCAATTTTCATCTTATTCAACACTTTCGAGGTGTTATTGAAGAAAATATTAAAATGCGCGAGGAGAAGAAGATAATGCGACCCGATATGATTAATATACTGTTGGAATCTAGGAATGGAAAATTATGTGAGGAGAGTAATAACGAATTGGTTGATTCGTTTACTTCAACAAACAAATATAGTTTGAGTATGAAAACTAACAATGTTGAGTTGACCAACGAAACTATAACAGCTCAAGTTTTGATCTTTTTATTTGCTGGATCTGACACGACGTCATACGCAATGAGTTTTTTGTCGTTTGAATTAGCAATGAACAATAATATTCAGGATAAACTTAGGGAGGAAATTAACGCAACTTGGAAGGAATGTAAAGGAAATTTAACTTATAAAACTTTAATTAGTATGACGTATATGGATATGGTTATTAGTGGTAATAAATTGATTAATACCTTTTCTATTAAAACATTGATTAATTTTTGAACAGAAGTTCTAAGGAAATGGCCCCTTTTCCATTTTTGGACAGAAGATGCAACAAGGATTATACAATTCAAGCTACAAAACCAATATTTTGGCAAATAAAACCATGCTTTTCCATTTAATAAAACATTTTCAAATTGTCCCAACAGAAAAAACTTCAATACCCATTGTCATTAGCAAGAATCAATTAAATGTTTCGTCGAATCGCGGATTTTGGTTTGGTTTAAAAAGATTATCATCTCAGCCTTAGTATTGTATAGTATCTTCAATATTTAACAGTTGTGACACTACATGATAATATAAATATATTGAATAACTAAAATTTACGTCAAAAACAAGAATGAAATAAACATGTTTTCTCTCCCAATAAAATCTGAACGTTCATTGCTTAAAATTAATTTAAATACTAACAATTAATACTTCGGACTTTGAATAAAGTGTTGTTTCTTTTTAGGTTGTTATCAGTGCATTAAAGATAAATATTTTTTTTGTAAGCTATATTATTGAATATTAATCAAGAACTGCGGCTTATCAAATCTCGTGACGAAAGAGATTAAGAAGAAGCATATATAATGTATGTTACACACATTGTAGAAGACACATTTGCAACTCGATGATGATACTGTTAGCATTGATTTTGGTATTAATAGCATTGCTTTATATTTACTTCATATTACCGCATCAGTATTGGAAAAAGAAAGGTCTTCAACATGTGGAACCGACGCCAATCTTCGGAAGTCTTTACGAAAACATAATAAGAAGCAAATCTATAGCAGATTTGATTGAAAGTTTCTACAAACAGTTGAAGCAGTACAGGTAAATATTATAGCTTGTTTATTTCTTACTTATACAATAAATTGAATGATTTAAAAAAAAATCAAAATAGTACATAATTGACAAATATTATAAGTCTTTAATTCATCTAAATATAACTAGGTGTAACTAGGTGTAACTTGATATAATTAGGAATGACTAGGTAGGACTAGGTATAACTAGTTATCATTAGGTATGATTTGGTATTATTAAGTATAACTCTGTAAAACCATATATAATTTTTATATAATGATTATTTTCAGATATTCTGGTTTATACAATTTGACAACACCAATTTTGCTAGTCAATGACATAGATTTGATCAAAACCATAACCATCAAGGACTTTGATTATTTTACTGACCATATGAACCATGCAAAGGAAGAAGTCGACCCTTTGTGGAGCAGAAATATTTTTGCTATGATTGGTATGAATAAATTTGTTGGATTTGATAAAATTTTAATTTTTACTTTTAGGAGAGCCTTGGCGCAATATGAGATCAACACTAAGTCCAGCATTTACTAGCAGCAAAATGCGTTATATGTTCAATCTGATTAACGATTCTGCCGAACACTTTGCAGAATTTTACTTGAAACAGAATAAAGATATAATTTCTTTGGAAATGAAGGATGCTTACACAAGAGCAACTAATGATATCATAGCAAGTTGCGCTTTCGGAATACAGTGCGATTCCTTGAATGATAGTCAAAATGATTTCTACGTCAAAGCTCGAAATGCCTTCGATTTCAGTGGTCTTCGTCAATACATATTCTTTATGTACAATACTTGTCCTAAACTAATGAAGGTATTTATATTTAATTATCTTTAAACTGTTGATTTATATTAATTATTTATTATTTGGTTAGATGTTGGGCATTAAAATATTTTCCGATGAAATGGCCAACTTCTTCAGAGGTATCATCAATGAAACCATTGATGTGCGTGAGAAAAATGGAATCGTTAGACCTGATATGATTCATTTACTCGTGGAAGCGAGGAAGGGAAAATTGCACGAGGATACGAGCACCACGGAAGATTCCTTTGCTGCAACTGAAGAATATAGTATAAATAGGAAGATAACCAACATTCAAATCAGCAACGAAGATATTACAGCTCAAGCTCTGATTTTCTTCTTAGGTGGCTTCGATACAACTTCATTTCTTATGTGTTTCTTAGCTTACGAACTGGCTGTTAATCCAGACATCCAAGATAAGTTGAGACAAGAAATTGAAGATACTTTGGAAGACTGTAATGGCAAAGTTACTTACGAAGCTTTGATGAAGATGAAGTATTTGGATATGATAATATCTGGTACTTAAAGATAATGTTAATATTTTATTTAAGTAAATTAATTGATTGATTTTCAGAGGTTTTACGAAAATGGCCACCTATATCAATACTTGATAGGATATGTACGAAAGATTATACAATTAAAGCTACCAGAAGCTATGAGCAAGATTACCAGATAAAGAAAAAAGATGTTATATGGATTCCAGTATTTGGTATTCACAGAGATCCTGAGTTTTATCCTAATCCAGAGATGTTTGATCCAGAAAGATTCAGCCTAGAGAATCGTAGAAATATCAACGCGTCTGCATATTTACCATTCGGAAGTGGTCCTAGAAATTGCATTGGTATATTGTAATAGTATTTTTGAGTTATTTATGCTATATTTTTGTACGTTTTAGGATCAAGATTTGCAATTATGGAAAATAAATCTATTATATTCCAGTTGTTGAAAAGATTCAGTATTGTTCCAACAGAGAAAACTGAGATTCCTTTGAAAATAAGTCCAAAGCATTTGAATGTTACTGCTAAAAATGGATTTTGGCTTGGACTTAAACGATTATAAATTGTACATACATTTTGGTAAACTATACATTTCAAAAGTTGAAGTTTTTCTTATTATATTGATATTTCAAAATCATTATAAAAAGGTACGCTTAATTTTTCAGATTATACTACAACTATAAATATTAAGATGAATGAACTTAGCTAGGATCTATTACTTGTAATTGTACTCTTTGTATATTTATTTTGAAATTAATTAGTTAAAAATATTATAATTTTTAAAGGCAAATATGTAAATAACTGATTAAAAATATTAATAGTATGATTATCTTAATGTTTGTAAAAAACAATTATTTTATTTTTATAATTAAAATAAATTAATTAATTACTTGTCAAAATGATTCAATAGCAGAAATTAAAACTCTCCCAATTCAAGTTACAAGTAGGAATCAATTCAATGTATTATCGCATCACAGATTTTGGTTTAGATTTAAAAGATTTTAGTAGTTACGTCAAATACAAGACCGGAACAAACATGTTTTTCTCTCTTGTATTAATATCTGCATGATTATCGCTTCAATTATGCTGCATAACTGTGACTTATCACGCTCGTGACGAAAGAGATTAAGATGAGGCATATATAATGTATGTTACACACATTGTAGAAGACACATTTGCTAGTCGAATATGATTCTGTTAGCATTGACTTTAGTATTAGTAGCATTGCTCTATATTTATTTTGTTTTATCGCATCGATATTGGAAAAAGAAAGGAATTCAACATGTGGAACCGACGCCTATCATCGGAAGTCTTTACGAAAACATGACTAGAAGCAAATCTTTAGCAGATGTGATTGAAAGTTTCTACAAACAGTTGAAGCAGTATAGGTAAATATTATAGTTACTTAATTTCTTACCTATGCGCTATATTCAATGATTTAAAATAAATATAAATACATAAATAACAAATATTATAAGTATTTAATTCATCATAAATGTCCTTGCTTTTTCAAGAACTAAGTATAACTAGGTGTAACTAGATATAATTAGGAACGACAAGGTATGACTAAGTATAACTAGCTATAATTTGGTATGATTTAATATAAATGTGTAAAATTATATATAATTTTTATATAATGATTGTTTTCAGATATTCTGGATTATACAATTTGACAACACCAATTTTGCTAGTCAATGACTTAGATTTGATTAAAACCATAACCATCAAGGACTTTGATTATTTTACTGACCATATGAACCATGCAAAGGAAGAAGTCGACCCTTTGTGGAGCAGAAATATTTTTGCTATGATTGGTATGCATTTAAATTTGTGGGATTACATAACATTTGAATTTTTACTTTAAGGAGAACCTTGGCGCGTTATGAGATCAGCACTAAGTCCAGCATTTACTAGCAGCAAAATGCGTTATATGTTCAATCTGATTAACGATTCTGCCGAACATTTTGCAGAATTTTACTTGAAACAGAATAAAGATATAATTTCGTTAGAAATGAAGGATGCTTACACAAGAGCAACTAATGATATTATAGCAAGTTGCGCCTTCGGAATACAGTGCGATTCCTTGAATGATCGTCAAAATGATTTCTATGTGAAAGCTCGAAAAGCATTCGATTTTAGTGGAATTCGTCAATACATATTCTTTTTGTACAACTCGTGTCCTAAATTAATGAAGGTACTTAACATTATTTTTTAAATATTGATTTATTTTGATTATTTTGTTAGATGTTGGGCATTAAAATATTTTCCGATGAAATGGGCAACTTCTTCAGAGGTGTCATCAATGAAACCATTGATGTGCGCGAGACAAACGGAATCGTTAGACCTGATATGATTCATTTACTCCTGGAAGCGAGGAAGGGGAAATTGCAGAAAGATACGAGCGCAATGGAAGATTCCTTTGCTGCAACTGAAGAATACAATTTAAATAGGAAGACAACCAACATTCAAATTAGCAATGAAGATATTACAGCTCAAGCATTAATTTTTTTCTTTGGTGGCTTCGATACAACTTCATATCTCATGTGTTTCTTAGCTTACGAACTAGCTGTTAATCCAGACATCCAAGATAAGTTGAGGCAAGAAATTCAAGATACTTTGGAAGACTGTAATGGCAAAGTTACTTACGAAGCTTTGATGAAAATGAAGTATTTGGATATGATAATATCTGGTACTTAAGGATAATGTTAATATTTTATTTAAGTAAATTAATTGATTGATTTTCAGAGGTTTTACGAAAATGGCCACCTGCGCCTGTACTTGATAGGATATGCACGAAAGATTATACTATTAAAGCTACCAGAAGCTATGAGCAAGATCTCCAGATAAAGAAAAAGGATATTATATGGATTCCAATATTTGGAATTCACAGAGATCCTGAGTTTTATCCTAATCCAGAGTTATTTGATCCAGAAAGGTTTAGTCCAGAGAATCGTAGGAATATCAACGCTTCTGCTTATTTACCGTTCGGAAGTGGTCCTAGAAACTGCATTGGTATGTTATAATAGCAAATTTGAATTATTTATGTAATATTTTGTTTGTTTTAGGATCAAGATTTGCAATTATGGAAAATAAAACTATTATATTCCAATTATTGAGAAGATTCAGTATCGTTCCAACAGAGAAAACTGATATTCCTCTGAAAATATGTCCACAGCAATTGAATGTTACTGCTAAGAATGGATTTTGGCTTGGACTTAAACGGTTATAAACTGTATACATTTTAATTAATCATATAGTTCTGTTTTTTAATTGCATTTATTTTGTAAAATCTTCATAATAATACAAAAAAGGATAAACTGACTAGCTTCCTAGAAAATAGTAAGTACTTTGTAGTAACTACTTAGTGTTACATACTTTCAGATTATATAATACAGTTATAACTAGTAAGATGATTGCACTTAGCTACCATCCATTACTTGTTAATGTAAAATAATTGTATTATTTTTATAATTAAAATAAATAAATAGTGAGCTTATTTCTTATCTATACGTTATATTTAATGACTTTTAAAAAATCTAAATCTTCAGAAGAACTCTGCCGTTATATGAGATCAACATATAATGGACAGCTCAGCATTTACTAGCAGCAAAATGCGTTATATGTTCAATCTGATTAACGATTCTGCCGAACACTTTGCAGAATTTTACTTGAAACAGAATAAAGATATAATTTCTTTGGAAATGAAGGATGCTTATACAAAAGCAACTACTGATATCATAGCAAGTTGCGCTTTCGGAATACAGTGCGATTCCTTGAATGATAGTCAAAATGATTTCTACGTCAAAGCTCGAAATGCCTTCGATTTTAGTGGTTTTCGTAAATACATATTCTTTATGTACAATACTTGTCCTACAGTTATGAAGGTATTTATTTTTAATTATCTTTAAACTGTTGATTTATTTTATTTATTTATTATTTGGTTAGATGTTAGGGTTTAAAATATTTCCCGATGACATTGCTAATTTCTTCAGAAGTGTCATCAACGAAACTATTCATGTGCGTGAGAAAAATGGAATCGTTAGACCTGATATGATTCATTTACTCGTGGAAGCGAGGAAGGGAAAATTGCACGAAGATACGAGCACCACGGAAGTTTCCTTTGTTGCAACTGAAAAATATAGTTTAAATAGGAAGATAACCAACATTAAAATCAGCAACGAAGATATTACAGCTCAAGCTGTGATTTTCTTCTTAGGTGGCTTCGATATAACTTCATATCTTATGTGTTTCTTAGCTTACGATCTGGCTGTTAATCCAGACATCCAAGATAAGTTGAGACAAGAAATTCAAGATACTTTGGAAGACTATAATGGCAAAGTTACTTACGAAGCTTTGATGAAGTATTTGTATATGATAATATCTGGTACTTAAAGATAATGTTAATATTTTGTTTAAGTAAATTAATTGATTGATTTTCAGAGGTTTTACGAAAATAGCCACCTATATCAATACTTGATAGGATATGTACGAAAGATTATACAATTAAAGCTACCAGAAGCTATGAGCAAGATTACCAGATATTCACAGAGATCCTGAGTTTTATCCTAATCCAGAGATGTTTGATCCAGAAAGATTCAGCCTAGAGAATCGTAGAAATATCAACGCTTCTGCATATGTACCATTCGGAAGTGGTCCTAGAAATTGCATTGGTATGTTATAATAGTATATTTGAATTTTTTATACTATATTTGATTTGTTTTAGGATCAAGATTTGCAATTATGGAAAATAAAACTATTATATTCCAGTTGTTGAAAAGATTCAATATTGTTCCAACAGAGAAAACTGAGATTCCTTTGAAAATAAGTCTAATGCATTTGAATGTTACTGCTAAAAATGGATTCTGGCTTGGACTTAAACGATTATAAATTGTACATACATTTTGGTAAATTATACATTTCAAAAGTTAAAGTTTTTTTTTATTATATTGATATTTCAAAATGATTATAAAAAGGTACGCTCAATTTTTCAGATTATACACTTCATCTATAAATATTGACATGAATGAATTTAGCTAGGATCTTTTACTTGTATTTGTACTATTTGTATATTTATTTTGAAATTAATTGGTTAAAAATATTATTTTGAAAAGACTGTTTAATGCTACTAAAGTCTTAGGGCAATGAAATGAATCAAAGTGGTTAACAGACGATATTTTTCGGATATGTTTAGAAAAATTAGATTCGACAAAAATCGTTTTCTGGTTTAATTGAAAGTATTTACAATAATTTAATCATTCCAGGTGATTTAAGAAATTTAAATTAATTTATTTAACAAAATATTAATAAAAACAATAATTGATGAGATTTGTTATTAACCTGAAACAAGATAATAATTTAATTCCTTTGGAAATGAAGAGAGCTACAAATGATATCATTGCAAGTTGCGTTTTAGTTTTGCATTAAAAGTATTGAAATAGAAATACGCAATAAATATTATTATCTAAAAATACATTTCATATCACCATAACATTATTAACGCTGTGCATGATAAAAATTAAAGAAAACAAAGATTATATTCAATAATTGAAGCAATTAACACAAGACAGTTGAAAATCAAAGATGATTGTGTTAACATTGTTTTTAATAGTATTAACATTCCTTTATTATTATTTTGTGTTAGCTAATCAATATTTGGCAAAGAATGAATAGTTAGACCAGATGAGATTGATTTAATTTTGTAAGCAAGGAATGGAAAATTGCAGAAGACTGTAAAACAATCATTTGATGTGATAATATAGTTTGAACTAAAATGACTTATGCAGATATAACAAGTTTTAATCTTCTTCATTGATACAATTTCTTATCATCTATATTCCTTATCTTATAAACATGCAGAAAATCTTGAACAAGGAATGTTGATAAATAATTTTTAACGGTAAATTTTGGAATAACTGATTAAAAATATTAATATTTTGTAATTAAAATAAATAAATTAATTACTTGTCAAAACGATTCAATAGTAGAAATTAAAACTCTCCCAACTTTAGTTACAAGTAGGAATTAATTCAATGTATTATCGCAGCACAGATTTTGGTTTAGTTTTAAAAGATTTTAGTAGTTACGTCAAATACAAGACAGGAACAAACATGTTTTTCTCTCTTCTATTAATATCTGCATGATTATCGCTTGAATTATGCTGCATAACTGTGACTTATCACGCTCGTGACGAAAGAGATTAAGATGAGGCATATATAATGTACGTTACACACATTGTAGAAGACACATTTGCTAGTCGAATATGATTCTGTTAGCATTGATTTTAGTATTAGTAGCATTGCTCTATATTTATTTTGTTTTATCGCATCGATATTGGAAAAAGAAAGGTATTCAGCATGTGGAACCTACGCCTATCATCGGAAGTCTTTACGAAAACATGACTAGAAGCAAATCTTTAGCAGATTTGATTGAAAGTTTCTACAAACAGTTGAAGCAGTATAGGTAAATATTATAGTTACTTAATTTCTTACCTATGCGCTATATTCAATGATTTACCATAAATGTCCTTGCTTTTTCAAGAACTACGTATAACTAGGTGTAACTAGATATAATTAGGAACGACAAGGTATGACTAAGTATAACTAGGTATAATTTGGTATGATTTAGTATAACTGTGTAAAACTATATATAATTTTTATATAATGATTGTTTTCAGATATTCTGGTTTATACAATTTGACAACACCAATTTTGCTAGTAAATGACTTAGATTTGATTAAAACCATAACCATCAAGGACTTTGATTATTTTACTGACCATATGAACAATGCAAAGGAAGAAGTCGACCCTTTGTGGAGCAGAAATATTTTTGCTATGATTGGTATGCATTTAAATTTGTGGGATTACATAAAATTTTAATTTTTACTTTTAGGAGAACCTTGGCGCGTTATGAGATCAGCATTAAGTCCAGCATTTACTAGTAGCAAAATGCGTTATATGTTCAATCTGATTAACGATTCTGCCGAACATTTTGCAGAATTTTACTTGAAACAGAATAAAGATATAATTTCGTTAGAAATGAAGGATGCTTACACAAGAGCAACTAATGATATTATAGCAAGTTGCGCTTTCGGAATACAGTGCGATTCCTTGAATGATCGTCAAAATGAGTTCTATGTGAAAGCTCGAAAAGCCTTCAATTTTAGTGGTATTCGTCAATACATATTTTTTTTGTATAACTCGTGTCCTAAATTAATGAAGGTACTTGTCATTAATTTTTTAAATATTGATTTATTTTGATTATTTTGTTAGATGTTGGGCATTAAAATATTTTCCGATGAAATAGGCAACTTCTTCAGAGGTGTCATCAATGAAACCATTGATGTGCGCGAGAAAAACGGAATCGTTAGACCTGATATGATTCATTTACTCCTGGAAGTAAGGAAGGGGAAATTGCAGAAAGATACGAGCGCAATGGAAGATTCCTTTGCTGCAACTGAAGAATACAATTTAAATAGAAAGACAACCAACATTCAAATTAGCAATGAAGATATTACAGCTCAAGCATTAATTTTTTTTTTTGGTGGCTTCGATACCACTTCATATCTCATGTGTTTCTTAGCTTACGAACTAGCTGTTAATCCAGACATCCAAGATAAGTTGAGGCAAGAAATTCAAGATACTTTGGAAAACTGTAATGGCAAAGTTACTTACGAAGCTTTGATGAAGATGAAATATTTGGATATGATAATATCTGGTACTTAAAGATAATGTTAATATTTTATTTAAGTAAATTAATTGATTGATTTTCAGAGGTTTTACGAAAATGGCCACCTACGCCTGTACTTGATAGGATATGCACGAAAGGTTATACTATTAAAGCTACCAGAAGCTATGAGCAAGATCTCCAGATAAAGAAAAAGGATATTATATGGATTCCAATATTTGGAATTCACAGAGATCCTGAGTTATATCCTAATCCAGAGTTATTTAATCCAGAAAGGTTTAGTCCAGAGAATCGTAGGAATATCAACGCTTCTGCTTATATACCTTTCGGAAGTGGTCCTAGAAACTGCATTGGTATGTTATAATAGTAAATTTGAATTATTTATGTAATATTTTGTTTGTTTTAGGATCAAGATTTGCAATTATGGAAAATAAAACTATTATATTCCAATTATTGAGAAGATTCAGTATCGTTCCAACAGAGAAAACTGATATTCCTCTGAAAATATGTCCACAGCAATTTAATCTTACTGCTAAGAATGGATTTTGGCTAGGACTTAAACGGTTATAAACTGTATACATTTTAATTAATCATATAGTTCTGTTTCTGTTTTTTTATTGCATTTATTTTGTAAAATCTTCATAATAATACAAAAAAGGATAAACTAGCTTCCTAGAAAATAGTAAGTACTTAGTAGTAACTACTTAGTGTTAAATACTTGCAGATTATATATTACAGTTATAACTAGTAAGATGATTGCACTTAGCTACCATCCATTACATTAATGTAAAATAATTGTATTATTTTTATAATTAAAATAAATAAATAGTGAGCTTATTTCTTATCTATACGTTATATTTAATGACTTTTAAAAAATCTAAATCTTCAGTAGAACTCTGCCGTTATATGAGATCAACATATAATGGACAGCTCAGCATATACTAGCAGCAAAATGTGTTATATGTTCAATCCGGATTACTTGAAGCAGAATAAAGTAATAATTTCTTTGGAAATGAAGTATGCTTACACTAGAGCTACAAATGATATCATTGCATGTTGAGTTTTCTGTAAGTTAAATCACGTAAAGCCTCTGATTACAGATGATTTCGTCAATTCAACAACATAAACGCGACTTATCATGCATGTTACGAAAGAGATTAAGAAGGAGTATATATAAGAGTATATATGTCTTCCACACATTGTGGAAGACACATTTGCTACTCGAATATGATTTGGTTAGCATTGATTTTAGTTTTAGTAGCATTGTTTTATATTTACATTGTACTACCGCATCGATATTGGAAAAATAATGGTATTCAATATGTAGAACCAACACCTATCTTTGGAAATTTTTACGAAAACTTGATCAAAAGAAAATCTTTTGCAGATTTGATTGAAAGTTTCTACAAACAGTTGAAGCAGTACAGGTAAATATTATAGTTAGTTAATTTCTTAATTATTATAAAACTTTAATTCGTCATCAATTGGAAATCTCTTTGCTTTTTTATGACTAAGTATAACTAGGTGTAACTAAATATAATTAGGTATGATTAGGAATTATTTAGTATATACCTAGAACTCTAAAACTATTAATTTTTTTATATTAATTTAATTTTTTTTTTCAGATATTGTGGTATATACAATTTGACAACACCAATTTTGATAATTAATGACTTAGATTTGATCAAAACCATTACCATCAAGGACTTTGATTATTTTACTGACCATATGAATCATGCAAGGGAAGAAGTAGACCCTGTGTGGAGCAGAGGTCTCTTTGCTATGATTGGTATGTATTTAAATTTGTTATATTACATTATATTTTAATTTTACTTTTAGGAGAACCATGGCGCGATATGAGATCAATACTAAGTCCAGCATTTACTAGTAGCAAAATGCGTAATATGTTCAATCTGATTAACGATTCTGCCGAACATTTTGCAGAATTTTACTTGAAACAGAATAAAGATATAATTTCTTTGGAAATGAAGGATGCTTTTACAAAAGCAACTACTGATATAATAGCAAGTTGCGCTTTCGGAATACAGTGCGATTCCTTGAATGATAGTCAAAATGATTTCTACGTCAAAGCTCGAAATGCCTTCGATTTCAGTGGTTTTCGTAAATACATATTCTTTATGTACAATACTTTTCCTACAGTTATGAAGGTATTTATTTTTAATTATCTTTAAACTGTTGATTTATATTATTTATTTATTATTTGGTTAGATGTTAGGGTTTAAAATATTTTCCGATGACATTGCTAATTTCTTCAGAAGTGTCATCAACGAAACTATTCATGTGCGTGAGAAAAATGGAATCATTAGACCTGATATGATTCATTTACTCCTGGAAGCGAGGAAAGGAAAATTTCAGAAAGAAACGACCATCATGGAAGATTCTTATGCTGCAACTGAACAATACAGTTTAAATAGGAAGACAAACAAAATTCAAATCAGCAACGAAGATATCATGGCTCAAGCTTTGATTTTCTTCTTTGGTGGCTACGACACAACTTCATTTCTTATGTGTTTCTTAGCTTACGAACTTGCTGTAAATCCAGATGTACAAGAAAAGTTGAGGCAAGAAATTCAAGATACTTTGGAAGTCTGTAATGGAAAAGTTACTTACGACGCTTTGATAAAAATGAAGTATTTGGATATGATCATTTCTGGTACTTAATGCTAAAGTTCAATTGAAAGTTTATTAATTGATTGATTTGTAGAGGTTTTACGAAAATGGCCACCTGCGCCTTTACTTGATAGGATATGCACGAAAAATTATACAATTAAAGCTACCAGAAGCTATGAGCAAGATTACCAGATAAAGAAAAAAGATGTTGTATGGATTCCAGTATTTGGAATTCACAGAGATCCTGAGTTTTATCCGAATCCAGAGATGTTTGATCCAGAAAGGTTCAGCGCTGCGAATCGTGGGAATATCAATGCTTCTGCATATTTACCTTTCGGAAGTGGTCCTAGAAACTGCATTGGTATATTGTAATAGTAATTTTAAGTTATTTATGCTACATTTTTGTACGTTTTAGGATCAAGATTTGCAATTATGGAAAATAAAACTATTATATTCCAGTTATTGAGAAGATTCAGTATTGTTCCAACAGAGAAAACTGATATTCCTATGAAAATAAGTGTAAAGCAAATAAATGTTACTGCTAATAATGGATTTTGGCTTGGACTTAAACGTTTATAATTTATATACATTTTAATAAATCATATATTTTTAAATTTTAAAACCGAATATTATTTCATTTTTTACTAAAGTTAGATTGAGTAGCTTAATAAAGCCTAAAACAAGTAGAGAGTATTGTTTATTTCTATTAAAATTTGTAAGTAATTTTCAGATTTGAATTTTAAAATCAACAAGAAAAAGTAAATACGTCAATAATGAGAATACATATTTTTTTGTAAAATCACAGTCGTCTCTAATCATATATTTCCTTGACATTTGAACTTTTGATAAATTCAAATAATCTGGTTAATCAGGAAATGCAGCTTATAAAAAACATTTCACATCACAATAACATTATTTACACTGTGAATGATAAGAATTGAAGAAAACAAAGATTATATTATAGCAATACTTAACACAAGACAGTTGAAAATGAAAGATGATTGTGTTAACATTGTTTTTAATTGTAATAGTATTGCTTTATTACTACTTTGTATTACCTAATCAATATTGGGCAAAGAAAGGAATTCAACATGCTAAACCGGCGTTATTTTTCGGAAGTTTTTACGAAAATTGGATTAGACGAAAATCGTTTTCTGAATTAATTGAGAATCTTTACATGCAATTTAAACATTACAGGTGATTATGAAATTTTAAATTAATTTATTTAAAAAAAAAATGTTATAATATTTATGTTTTTTTAAGATATTCTGGTATTTATAATTTGACAAAACCAATTTTGTTAGTTAATGACATTGATTTGATTAAATTGTTAACAATCAAAGATTTCGAGTATTTCACTGATCATATGGCTTATGCAAGGGCTGATGTCGATTCTTTATGGAGTAAAAATATCTTCGCTATGAGAGGTATAAGTTTGACCTAATAAAATATCAAAAATTGTATTATCTTTTTCAGGTGAATCTTGGCGTGATATGAGAGCAACGTTAAGTCCAGCATTTACAGGCAGCAAAATGCGTTTTATGTTCAATTTGATCAACGATTGTGCAGAAAAGTTTGCTGAATATTACCTGAAACAAGATAATGATATAATTTCGTTGGAAATGAAGGATGCTTACAGTAGAACTACAAATGATATCATTGCAAGTTGCGCTTTTGGAATACAGTGCGATTCCTTGAATGATCGAGAAAATGAATTCTATGTTAAATCACGTAAAGCCTTTGATTTCAGTGGATTTCGTCAGTTCAACTATTTCTTATACAATGCGTGTCCTAAATTAATTAGTGTAATTAATTGTATTATTTTTTATTATTATTAATTGTAATATTTAATTTTTTGGATTTTAGGTTTAAAAGTATTTACAGATGAAATTGGAGACTTTTTCAGATCTGTCATTAATGAAACTATTGATATGCGTGAGAAGAAAGAAATCGTTAGACCTGATTTGATTAATTTACTTTTGGAAGCAAGAAGTGGAAAATTGCAGGAGGAAAATACTGCTGTAAAAGAATCGTTTGCTGAGACGAAGGAATATAGTTTGAATAAGAAAATTAATAAAATTAAAATCACCAATGAAGATATAACAGCTCAAGCTTTGATCTTCTTCGTCGGCGGCTTTGATACAACTTCATATCTTCTATGTTTCTTATCCTATGAACTTGCTGTTAATATTGATGTACAAGAAAAGCTGAGAAAAGAAATTCAAGAAACTTTGGAAGAGTGCAATGGAAAATTGATTTATGTTGCTTTAATGAAGATGAAGTATTTGGATATGGTTATCTCTGGTAATTTTGTTTTAATTCTAATTTTCTTATAAATATCAATGATTTGATTTTTAGAGGTATTACGAAAATGGCCTGCAGCTGCCGTGATTGACAGAATATGCATTAAAGATTACACAATCAAAGCAAGTAAAAGTGATGAGAAAGATTACTTGGTAAAAAAGAACGATGTCATATGGTTTCCAACATTTGGTATTCATAGAGATCCTGATTTTTACCCAAATCCTGGAGTTTTTGATCCAGAAAGGTTTAGTGCAGAGAATCGTGGGAATATCAATGCTTCATCATATATACCTTTTGGTACTGGTCCTAGAAATTGTATTGGTAAGTAGTAATGAAATAATTATAACTTTATTATTATTATTTTGTAAATATTTTTTAGGTTCACGATTTGCAATTTTAATAAACAAAGCTGTAATTTTTCAATTGTTGAGAAGTTTCAGTATAATTCCAATTGAAAAAACTGTTATTCCCCTGAAAGTAAGTGCCAAGAATATGGCCATAACTTCTGAAAATGGATTTTGGCTTGGACTGAAACGACTATAAGTTTTTGTATACATCTTAATAATACGTAGTCTTTCTTTATTTATACTTATTTGATGTCATAAGATTGTGATTGTTTTTATAATTAGAAGTTATTGATTACACTAACAATTGTTTGTAGATTAATTAACTAATTATAAGAAGTTGTATAAAAGCTATACATAATAAAAAGTAACTTTTAGTTTGTGAATTCGGTATTAACAAAATTATGTTTATACGTAAGAAAATATATCAAATCTTTCATCATTTGATATATTTATACTACAATAATATTATAGTATCACATTATGTAATTGTAATAGGTTCAATGTAGTTCAATAAACTTTGCATATCTGTGACGTATGTAACTATTTGATTCTAATAAGTTCAGTGTCATCAGACTCAATTATAGTAGTTGATATCAATATGATATTACATATATGTGACATATGACAACAATGTCTATCAGATGTACCAACTAGTATGGATGGATTAGATGTCACCATATGGAATTGGAATAGATATAGTGTCATAAGACTGAAATGTTTTATTTCACACATATTTATATCTCAACATTATGATTTTATGACATATGTCATAAATGTCTATCAGGTGTACCAACTACTATACCATGTACAGTGTAATAGCTTAAGTGTCATGGGGACTTTATGTCAGTAGTTGACAGATATTTATAGCAAATGCAACATTACGTTTCTATACATATTTTGTATCAATTCTTTTTTATATTATATTAAAAAAAATGTGTAAGCTTTGGTGAAATTAAATGGAATATTGGATGAATTAATAATTAAAGCCAAACAAACAAAAAAGTAATCGCCGTTGGTTTATAATCCGCAATTTGCATGTATAAACCCTTATATTTGGGAGTTTTTAATCTCCGATAACAAAAAAAGATTAGCAAAGGGAGGAAGCATTTTAATGGGACACGCAAGCCGATTTTCCCGCCTCCCAAGGGTATGAAGATTTGGGGTTGCGGTAGAAACAAATCGGTCCCTCTCATATTTTCCAAATATTTTCGTGACACCAGTTACGAATCGTCGGAGCTTTTCCACATTGATATTATTTAGGGCTAATTTAAATAATTTCTTTTCAATAAGTCTTCTTCACTAAAAATGGGGAGGAAGAATTCCCAACAGCATTGAATCTAATTTGAGCAGAAACTTCGTGATCCCACAAGCACCAGTTGCAAAACAAATCTATTTTTAATTTGAATAAGAAACATTGATTAAGATGATGAACAAGACAGCTTTGTTTGTGGATAATTTCTTAAATATCTTTATTTACTTGATTACAAAATATTTGCTTGAAACTGTTAATATTAATTAAAAAGTTTGTGTAATATACTGAAGTTTTTTTTGTTAATTGAAAAGAGAATTTAATTATTAAATTTCTAGATAATAATTGCATAAATTGAAATATGTTATACTTTAAATTAATAATTTTATTTTGCAACAGTTTTTTTTTTTAGTTTCGTATGAAGAAACTGGGATATTCGGTGCGGAATGTTTTAATTCCGCTGTCAATTCATTCCGGTAAGCTAAAATTCCTGTTTTCAAACCGGGAAGCGAGCGGGAAGGGCCGAAACTATGCAACGGGAATTCGTGTTCAAAGTTGGTTGAAAATTCGCAACAAAATTGCTGCAAAAAGGCTCTTCTTATGATCTACTAATAATAGCATTCCCTTGAAAATATAAGAATTTACTCTTGTCGCAATGTTAAAGAGAAACATCCAATTATAAATAATTGAAGAAACGAATTTTCTTTACATTATTAGTTTATTTTCCGTACTTCTTCTTAACAAAGTGTGCGGCAATTACGAGACAATTAAGAAGCAATTAAATCCTTGTTTTATCCTCTTTACTCAAGTCTAGTCTTTCATCGTTTTATTTGAGCTTCTCTCTAAACCTTCTAAGGAGGTGCTGCTGCCGCTTCTCCGATATCAAATCCGATTAAAACGAACTATGCAACTCGATCGACCGTTACGTAAGGTAACAATCCAATTATACTCTATCGTCGCTTTACCCTTAGGATTTTCTATTAACCATACTGTATATTTTCATCATAATTACTAACTTTATAGTATCAAGGGAGGTTATGAATAATTTAATTGGAATTTAAAGTTTTATTATATTTATTACTATATTTATATTGCATTATATTACATAAATTATTTATTTTTGTAATAACCAAAAATTCTGCTATAATATTAAAATAAGTATACTAATAACTAATTTAACTAATTTCGAAATTATCTAAAAATGTAATTTTCTTTATTAAGTCTGATCAAGTTGCGAGAAAACTTTTATGTCATAATTCTATGAATGGAATCGACTTAGTATCATCTTGAATTTCAAACAATAAATGTGAAAATACTATAACTATTACCTTTATACCTATTAACATCCTATGTAATAAAATACAATGGACCTTCGGTTGTCTATAGGTCGTTCGGAAACCGAGGCTTTGAGAATCAACTGTACGAATAAAATATTTTTCCTTTTACACAATAATTCAATAAAAAATGACATTGAACATAAAAAAAAACTTACATTTTCATTGTAACGTGGTGAAGTTGACAACACTGAAAACAACGCTCCACGGTGCAACGATGACTCCAGAATTTCGGGGAGACCGATAGAACCACGAAGAGAAACGGTTGAGGTCTCCAGTAGAGAAGACTTTTTATATTTGTGCGAGCCCAGAACTGTGATATCAAGGTAGTTAAGGATCTCAATAGATAAGAAGTGTGTTGATCCGAAGAAGTAGAAGTTGGAGTACTTCCTCTACATAAAAGGAAATGGCGCCCAGAATCTTCCCACGTCAGAAACTCACGCCTAAACCGGTTTTGAAGATATTTTATAATTTGTATTTTCGTACGCGATAGCACTCGTGGTGTTACATCATATTATATAATACAATTAAAAATAATTTTATTAAAGTTTCAACTAATGTATAGAATAAATATAGTTGTACCTCAGTTCTCGAAAATAATTTGTTCATAAATGTTGTTCGAAAACCGAAAGCATTTCCTTCATATGATTTACTGTATAATTTTGACCAACAAATGGTTCGGGAACTGAGGCTTTGAGAATCAACTGTACAAATAAAATATTATTCCTTTTACACAATAATTCAATAAAGGAATTGACTTTGAACACAAAACAACATATATTTTCATATTATATAATACAATACAATTAAAAATAATTCTATTAAAGTTTGAACTAATTTATCGAATAAATATAATAATACCTCAGTTCTCGAAAATAAATTGTTCATAAATGTTCGAAATCATTTTACTCATAAGGATTCATATGAAAAATGCCTAATAATTATGCATTAATGTTACACAATTTGTTACTTTTAAAATAATATAATAATTATTGGTATGAAATAAAAAAAATATCTTTCAAATAAAACTCTATTCTTATAGATATACATTATATAATATAATTGAACGTATATAAAAGCAGATCAGGATTAGATTGGACATGATAAAAAAGGATGCGTTTGGGGGAGCCGTGATTAAATTGAGCATACTCATTGTTTCAGACCGATTGGCTAATCACATTAAGGACAACAGCGCACGCATGACAGTATTCCCATTTATACCCAGTCGGCTAATTATTGTGGAGGACAAGTGGCACGAGGAGAAGGCTTGTAAGAAGAACGAAAGAAAAAACAAAAAAAAAATATAAAGTAGAACAACAACAGCAACAACAACCGACACGCAAAACGTTTACATTTTTATCTTCCAGCCCATTTAACCCTCTCGCAACATTATCCAGCACAGAGACCAGAATAAAAATAAATAAATGGAGGAAAAAGAGGAAATTAAACAGCCGGGCCGAAATTAATTGCGAGCACAGATTTTTCGGTTCAGGATAATAAAAGGACACAGAACGAACGCAAAAAATAGATGCCAGTATTTAGTAGGTGTACGTACGGGACATAAAAAAGCGGGCTTAATGTATTGTATGTAGCAAAGTGTATTTAATTCGGTGGTAATAAATTCTTGCTATGATGAAGCAGACATTTGCAAGTTAAGGACGGCTGCTCTTGTGGTTAGATGAGCTCAGCGAAATTGTCTCATAGACCAATTATAGCTGACGTCTAGTTTGAATTGATCTTTGAAGTAAATCTAAATTGTCAATCAGAACTGATTTAAGATACTCCAAAGTATATTTTTTAGAATTTTTTAATACTTCTATAACTTTAGTTAGCAATGAGTTCTTAATCACCCATTCCGATTCAAATGTTGTTTAATTTTAGTAAAATTGGACAAAGACCAAAATAGTTTATAAAATAATAAATATTGGTAATAATTCCAAATTCTTAATATAATATTTATTAATAATATATACATATTTATTTATTTATACGCAAAATTGTATATAATCTCGAATAAATGGAAAAATAAATAATTAATCGAACTATTTTGAATCATCAATTTGCATAGAGAAAAGCGTATATTTAAACTACAATAATGTAACCAATTGAGTGAAACACGCAAGTCGATTTAAAGCCTATGATGATTTGGGGTTGTTTGTTATTTCCATGGAATAACTTGGAATTATGATTAGTACGTATGCGTCTTTCTTACCAACGAGAAACCAAATTTATTTTCATTATCCTTACTGGTTGAATTTAAGATTTTAAGCATAAAGTTTGTATTCCTTCCATACAAATTAGATGAACTTTGAGGTGACTTTCTTTGTAATTAGAGTAACATAAATCCTTTAAGACATGAGCGACGCTTTGAAAGATATCCTTTTTGTCGCAAACCTGGCAGGTTTGCATCCACAATCGCAGAATCTGTTGGCTCATTTCAGAACATTTATTATTTTTATAACTTTATTAAGTTCTTGTATCAGTATACTTTACACCACTTACACAATTGCGAATTTTCAAAGCGTTTCAGCAGCTACTGAAGCCACACCTATTATATATCAAGTAAGTAATTTATGTAATATTTAGTAGAATTAATGATTTATGTTTCAGGCTTTATCGAAACTGTTTTCATTTAAATTTGGAATGAAGAGGATCAAAAGCTTGTTCGATAATTTGAAGTTATTAATTCAACCCGAATCGCTGAACAATGATTTCAAAACAAAGATTTTGATGAATAGGAAGAAGTTGAGAAAATTCTTTTTG